TTTTTTTTTTGACGATGCTTTAACTACTGCCTGTATCCGTCATAGGTAGGGCATCCTGACAGACCGCATCGTTTAATTATTTTTCCAAGGCTGAACTATGATCTGTTTTGCTATGTCGCGCTGACGAAGTCACTGTTTTCCGCATTCTTCGTACCTTGCGCAGCAAATCCACGTTTCTTTACCGCAATTACAAAACAGAATGGGTTTTTTATTACAGTTGAAAAAGAGTCATTCACATCAAATATACAAAAGGGCATAACAGCTCGAAAAATTCGAAGAGATCAATATAAACTCAGTCGCGGCTCAAAAATTTACAAAACCAAGATTCCATCTAAAACTTGTCATTCCTGAAAATTGTTCTTCAACTTCATACAGGCGTACTTATTACAAATCGCTGGATCATCTCTTTCTTCAAATTAGGTAAAAATGTCGCGGAGGAGGAGTTGTTGCTACCAGTAATTTTCCTCCTAGCATCTCCTAGCAAATCCGCCTGTAATTTTTTCCTTCAAAGTTGATCAGCGTGATTTAGCCCTTGACACTCCAAGCACTCCTTAAATCAGGACTACTGTTCCCAGCAATAGCTTCTGACAGCTAAAAGTAATAACTTCATCATTTATACTCGAAGCTCAACAGATACACCTAATAACAAAATTTCAGGCATACATTCATAATGGTTTTTTATTACGACTGATTTATATAAAAATTGGAAAAAAAATTTCACGGAGTAATCCTTTTAATTCGAGCTGTTTTACTGAGATCACAGATGAGACTCCAGATTGGCTGTGAGTTCTTCAAATGACAGGCTATTGCAGCAAAATTTTCTGCTTTACCGGAATCCAAAAAGGTTCCACCGGAATCGGGCCGAATCACTTCAAGCATTGGTCCTTTATCACCTTTTTCCTCGGATGTTTCTGTACCTTCGAATGTCGGCAGCACTGAGCTGGTTACCGTGAATTCCGCTAGCGATGGGCTTCCGGATTGGATATACTCCGAGCCATCTGCCCACGATCCCGCTGTATCCAAAATTTCCACAGTCGTATCAACCTCCGTGGTGAGAATTCCAGTATTTTCGGGAAATAGTAGTGAGGTTCCCAAGCTCTCCAATGGAATCTGGAAATACATACCGTTTGAAACACTGATGTTGTAGATAAACGAAGTTGGTGATGTGCTTCCAAAGATTTCCCACTGATCAGGAGATAGATCCGCTGGTTCTACTGTGAAATGAGATGAGTAAGCAGTGCCGGTGCTTGTTTCAAAGAGTTTTGAGAAGTTTTGTGCAATCACAGCAGAGTTCGCATCTGGACTAGCAGCTGTAGCTGACAACTTACTGTCATCGGAATTACCACTGGTTTCGGAATTACGGTCTACGTCAACTTCAGTACCAGTTACAATTTTATGAAGCAAACCGTTATCATTCGTCGACGTCTCACTGATACCCACCGAGCCTGATTCAGCAATCTCCGAGCTGGATGGGCTCGATGCACTTATCGAATTTTCGCTTCCGGGCGTAACCGAAACCCCGTCAGGCACAGCTGCATTAGTATGGTACCTCGAATCGCTTCCTTCCTTCTCGTTACTTTGTTTGCTATTAGTTTCAGCAGAGCTATCATGGGTAAGTCTATTTGTGGAAAGACTGACAAGTCCGCTATCGTTATCAGAGTTACTTATTCCTTCAGAGGTATTTTTCGAAAAAAAATCTCCTGCTCCAGTAGCGTCACCACCATCTGCAGCTGTAGTTCTTGTGCCAACCGCACTATCGCCTTTTTCAGAAGCAGCTTCCGTGCTGCTCCATAACTTTGCGGTGTCGCTTGCATCCAGAGATGTTAAGAAGCTGGCAACAGAAAACTGAATCAAGCTGGTTTTAGTGAGGAAACTGGAGCCATTAGAGAGGCTTTTTACAGAAGCTGTAACAAGGCCCGAACCTTGTTCAGCAAAAGAAACCGATTCTGAAACTGTGCCTGAGATTGGACCGAGATCCGAACCAGGGGAAGGCTCAAAACTTGACTGTGAAATCATCAGTTTCAAAGATTCTCTATCATTTACCTTCGAAGCGGGAGTGATTGGGGATTCGTCGGATTCGATCATTGTTGTTTCGTATTCCAGTTCCTCTGACGTGGTTCTAACCAACGATTCATTTATATGATCTGTTTCGTTATCTTTCGAGGAAAAACCAGCGTGCGGATCAGCAGTTGGCCATAGAACAGTATAAAAATTCGTCAAGTCCGAAGAGTCTGTGGTAGAACCACTTGTCGTGGTTTCGGACGCAGATTTTAAAGGGGCAGTCCCAGCAGCAATATAAACTAGTGGTAGAAAACCATCGAATTTGTCCATTTTTCGACAGTTTTTAGCAAAACCATTAGAATTAATTGCTACCACTGCCGTTTCCGAACGTCCATGGTCATCGATGGCACGCACTGTCAAGCAGTAACCATCATCACTTAATTCCGATAGCGGGATTACTTTTTTCAGCATTATTGCTCCTGAAAACGAACTTTAG